AATATTGAACAGCGGTTATGACTCTCTATCGGAAACCTGAAAATATCAACTTAACAGTAAAAAAAAAATAATAATAACTTCGTTTGATGGCTTAACAAACAGGCCAAACGGAAGCGTGACATGTACATGTTTTGTCAGAAGTCACGAGTCAAAAGCAAAACAAGACGGCGACGGTAAACGAGGTCACAACAAAACAAAAGATCTAATTAGCAGAACAATAGCGCAGCACGAGCGCTTTAACACAATGCTGTACATTTATAGCCGTCCTCTGCAAAACAATAGGGACCTTAAACAAACCACGACGGCGACGGCAACGAGGACATGGAAAAACAAAAGATCTAATAGGCAGAACAATAGCTCAGGACGTGCGTTTTAAAACTTTGTACATTTCTCAGCCGTCCCATGCAAAACAACAACGTGAAATCACCAGAATTTGTGTCGTCTGCGAACTTAAACCGCGACGGCAAATTTTTGTAATTTCCATTTGGAGCTCAACGCTTCTTTTATACGTTATGCTGAAGTTGAGGTGTGGCGCCGTATGAAACGGTAAACACATGCAGCTATTTTTGAAATTCTGATTAAAGGCAGAAATTGATTTTTTAATCAAAGTCTTCCTTGGCGTTGCCGTCCTGACTGCGTAAGGTCCCTTACTTGACGTGAAGTCACCAAAATCTGCGTGGTCCCAGAAAGAAAATCACGGCGGTAAATAATTTAAGTTGTTACTTGGAACTTGACGTTATGGCAGAGTTGATATATATGGCGCCGTAAGAGACGGTGACACATCCAGCTGTTCTCAAAATTCTAACTAAAATTAAAAATTCATTTGTTAATCGACTTCCTCCGCGGCGTTGCCTTCCTGATTGCATAGGTGATTTGTTTTTCAAGATGAGAGAACAGAAGGTTCCACTTAAAATCTGTCACACGAGTCCAACTGTTTCTAACTTTCTTAAAGAGTTTACAAACAGTTGCGCCGTCCGATCAAACAATGAACACTTGTGCACATTTCCACGCAAGTGAATTTATACATCAGCCAAAACCAACTTCAACAAGCATGACAGGCAAGATTAGTATACCACGAACTGATTTTTAAGAAAAAAAACAGACCGACGGTTTAAATTCAGTTGAAATATTAATCGAAGTTCACTTGTCAGCTAAAAAGCCTTGGATAAACACGAACCCTGTCAAGGCAATTGTTATCCAAGAATTGTAGTCGACATAGCATTTTCTCCCTAATAATGGCTGCCAAACAGCTGGCTTTTTTAATCAGTCTTTCTCTTTGTTTGCAATTAAATTTAACCCACTTACGAGACGTAACGTGTAAAGATGACAGCTTAAACTCAGTATTATTGATTTTCTTTAAGGTTTGACAAGTGTTGGAGAAGTTGACCAGCCAGTCTAGAGAAGCATGGAGATACCTGTGAAACTGAAGGTGAAAATTTTACTTATATGGAGCCTAAGTTGCTTCGCTGTATATTAGACAAATAGGGTAAGATTATGGCCGCACCTATTTGCTGTTGTCCTCTACAAACTATAATTTAGTAACACTCCAAAAGTTAGATAACAGTGGCTTCTTAGCTGAGTTGGCAGAAAGGCCCAACTACTGTTTGGGAGACAACGGATTCGAACTCTGTTACAGCCACAACTTTTCAAGATTTCTTTTCCTGTAATTTCTTCAGTCTGATTGCAGTTCATCTACGAGGATCCGTCACTAATTTCAGATTTTTGTCAATTTTGATGGTTAATTCATTTTTTCTTATAGAAT